CAAACACACACACATAATCACACGCACACACGCGCGCAAACGCACACTCATTACATGACTCTTGACGTAGCAATACATAACTTCTTTAACTTCCCTCAAAACTCCCCACATCACCCTACCCCCATCCGCCAACCCCCACCATTCCGAACCCATGGAAATCCATCCCCCCTCCCACAACCACACCCCTCTATCACCCTCCCCACAACCACACCCCTCTATCCCCCTCCCCACAACCCTTTCCCCTCCCACTTGCCCGATTGCCATCCCCCCAAAGACATAACCATGCTCCAAGACCTCCACAAGGCACTCTTGAGTAACGAGGTCGAGGAAGCGAAGCAGCTCATCGAGTCGGGCGCAGATGTCAACGCTGTATACCTACAGGAGACAGCCTTCACGCGTGCCGTGAAACTTGAGAATCTGGAGGTCACACAGGCGATCTTTGCACGCCCTGATTTTGACCCCAATGCCAAGACCTGGACTGGCAGGTCCCCGTTGTACATTACTGCAAGCAGAGGACTCACTCGCTGTGTTGAAGGTTTGAACAATCTCCCTTGATGATTTATTATCATTATTATTTTTGTACCAATCCTTGTTTTTTTATTCTCAGAAAAAAAGATGATAGAACCCGAAACACCACTTACAATACAGGCGTTTGTCACATACAAGAATAGAAAAGTATCATTGAACATGTCTGTCTGTCTGTCTGCCTGACTGTCTGTTTGTCTGTCTGTCTGTGATTATGTGTTATATGATGTTAGTTCATGTTCTTCATGCAAGTTGCATCTGTACGTTATGTGATGTACCACATGTTATTTCATGTTACGTCATACTGATATTCATTGTCTCTGTAAAACTATGTGTTCACAGATGAAATCATCATCTTCTGTTTGTAATGAACAATAAAAGGTCAATCAATTAACTACACAGAGAAGACTTTCTTTAGTCCGTCTGTCTATCTGAGCTTGCGTACGTACTTGTTTGCGAGCGTACGTACTTGTTTGCGAGCGTACGTACCTGTTTGCCTACTTGCTTTCGTGTGTGGATTTTTAACAAGTACTTATCAAGGAATTTTCTAGAATACAGCTAACAGGTATTTAAAAAGATATTGATCTGTTCAGACAAATTGATACGAGTCATTGTTGAAAAGCCGGAGACTTTATGTTCAATAGTTGAGGAAATATGTTGCAATACGTTGCACTACTATTGTCTGCCATCACAGAGTAGTCCTCTCATGTTCCAGTGTCTACGGATTTTTCTAACATATAATGAACGTTATCATACTGTGCCAATGTTTACTAGAACTAAATAGATTATTTTGAGTTTTGCTGCCCTTGAGAAATCCCTGCCACT